CAGCTGTAAACTGGTTTTAATCCTGACTCTTAGTGTTCACACGCAGCTGTAATCTAGTTTTAATCCTGAAACTTTGTGTTCACACGCAGCTGTAAACTGGTTTTAATCCTGTGATGTGACAACCAGGAACCCTGATCAAAAGATCTAAATAACCCAGGGAGAACCGGAGCACCGGCCCCACCCCCAATCGCCCCCTGATTTGGGATATATTTGTTTAAATAAATCCAGGATTGGGAAGAGTATCGACTTAATGGTCTAAAAGAATCACACACACGCCGTTTCTACTAAAATAATGGTGTCTTTAATATTTCGTCACAGATTACAGCATAACAAGCAAAGCAAGGTACAATCACAAATGTACAATCTCACAAGTATTGATGTAGGAGAAAACTCTCACCGTGACACATAGACTGGAGAGCCAGACAGCCTAGGCAGAGCATACACCAACACAGCTGGACGTCCCGATCGGAAGACTCACAACAGAATCTGCCCTAGCAAATGTGCTTCTTCTACTTATATCCTTTCATTCTCTCTCTCTAACAAAACATGTTTACTTGAAACTCAGAGTTGAAAACGGTAACTCCTTTCCATCTATGTGTGGGGAGTAAAGGCTTCTCTCATCTTGAGGAGAATGCTCTCTTATCAAGGGAGTGATCACCCATCCCATTCATGTGTGGAGGGATGATGGCTCACCTCTTATTATAGCAAAAACACGTTTACTAAAACTCAGGATAGCGTGAGAGTCCGATGGTGAAAAATGTTTATCAGGAACCTGGGGCGTTGTGACCTAAGGGCGGGCCAAGCCCCTCTGCCAAAACGCTCTCCAAGAGTTTAATTAAACATTTCTTTAATACAGCATCTCGCTCTCACAGTAACCCGACCTTAGATGTCCACATGAAATGTTTTATTGTCAAGCTATAATATGAAAAGCATTTAAAAACATACAAAAGAATATGGCATAAAGCATTAAAAACATATTACGATATCATTCCACCCTTGCCTTTTTGACATATTCCACTAATTTTGAAAATTATTCCCCTCAAAATCAAAATCTTCAAGATATCGCCTGCCAACCCATTGTTGGACAGATTCACACATAAAACTTAAAAATTCAAAAGTGGAATTAAAACCCTGTAAAGTATGATTAATTACCTTACCACTGACATGATAATTCAATATCATGATATCCTCTGGGACTGTGGTGTCGATTGGCATGGTGGCTTTTTCTGTCCCAAACCAATGGTCCTCTATTATTAATACTATTTTCATTACAGGGCTGTGTTATAAATTTTTTGATTGATTCTATTTTTAATCCTTCTAATATAAAAACAAGTGCACAGATTACATATGGTTAATACACCAAAACAAATTAACAAAATCAGCAAAGGAGGGCTTACGTATTTTTGCGCCGTTGATGACATCCCTGTGAATATGTCCCACCAATGGTGAGCCGACGCATGTTCAATTAGCTTAGCCGCATGTAAAACCTTTCCTTGAACAATGTAGGTGGACACTGTTAGATCAGACACGTTTGACTTATACGACTCAATCATTCGTTTCAGCTCTGTAGACTCATTCAATGCACATTTGAAACGGTCTAGGGAGACTTGCCAGGGTACGTGCAAAGTTTGCCATTGTACCTCTGTTAGTCGAGTGGTGGAACTATAATTAGTTAATTGATAAGTCTGGTTGTTCCAAGTCCACAGATGTACACCATACACACACCCAGAGAAAGGCACCTTAGGTAATTGAGGATGGCTTTTAATTGTAACTATACACAGAGTATGTGGGCCTATCTGCCATAGCATGTCTCTAGCTGGTTCATGAGTCCAATCACACAATACCTCGTCTTTGGTTAAACATGGGTTAACATGACCAGTTTGCAGCATACATACCACTCCTTTATCAGCCGTCCCGCATAGTTGCACGTCATAGGTGAGATTTGTCTGTGGCTCAAACCATTCACCTTGTATTTTTAAAAACCATTATCCTTGTACAGTTATTACAGGTAACACATGATACCTGCATACTGTAGTTATGTCACTTACAAGATACTGAACCCAATAACCTTCACACATATATTCAGTTCAAGTTTGGGGCCTTTTAGTTTAATGTCAAAATATAGGCTCTCTAATTTTGGACCTTTGATATTCAATGTTGACAATATCTGCTTTCAGAAGGTTGATGTCAAAATCTGGACCTTCTACTTTTGGCCCTTTTAATCCAAATAATGGCATCTAGCCCTCAGCTCTTCTGTTGGCAAACCATCCATCTCAGCTGGAGGCACTCCTGCCTGTATTAACGCCCTCCAAAAAGCAGAGCGAGTGGGTCCCTGTGTGTTATTTCGGCCGTCCCTTCCCGGCTCACGACCCATGGGCTGACTAAATGTTTTTTCACGGTTTTCAGCCCTCTCTGTGTTCCAATCTCCGAGTGCACCCAGTTCCAACACTCGGCTTCAAACATCAGTCATTGGAACAACATGCACTTGATAATCTGCTGCCAAACCCACAGCCAGTGCATCACTCACACACAGTCGAACCAGTCTCTGCACACATTCCCTTAAGGTCACCCAATGCCCCTGTAAATCAGGCCAATCTGATGCTCCAGGAAACATCTGTCGGACTGCCTCTGCATAAACTTCAAACAAAGGTCTCGAGTCTTGCAAAGCTCTGACTTCCTGTCGGTATGCTGAATTCACTCCTACCTGACCTCCACCTTTATCCAACAGCCTAGCTACCCAAGCATCTGTGGGTTCTGCAGTCTGTTGTTTATATATTTTAGACAAGTAAGCCACCTCCTCCTGGGTATACTCCTCGACTATCGCTTTTAAATCTGCCTGAGGCTGTTGCTATGCTACCAGATCCATGATTGGCTGTCCATCAAGCCCCACCATCTGTTGTCCCTGGGCGTCTACCCTCGCTTGCAACACATCTGGTATTATCTGCTCCTCTTTCCTACGTTTTTTTTACAGGTTTCACATTTTTGCTCGTTGCTTGAATGATAGGAGACCTCACCACTATTCCATCATTTAGTTCATCCTTCTCCTCACTCCAAATGTAATCATTTTCATAATCTTCGTCTCCCCAGATGTTGCCGTCCCAACTCGACGGATCCCATCCGGTTCCCAAATGGGCAACGAAAGCACAAACTCTTTTAAGTGACACACTTCGTTTCTTTTTCCTGAACTTTTCTCTTTTCAGGATAGAAACTTGTGTTATCGCACCCTCCGCCACATCAGTCATTCTGTTCAGCTGCGCAGTCAGTAGCTGGACATGTTGTTTCTGTAACAAGTTCTCAGCTTGCGCCTCCTCGAGCGCCTGCTTCTGATACTGGGACTTGCTCGATCCTGGCATAAATTCCTCTTTGACAACATTCTTTCTTATCGTCAACTGATGCTGGGACTTGCTCGATCCCGGCATGAATTCCTCTTTGACAACATTCTTTCTTATTGTCAACTGATACTGGGACTTGCTCGATCCCAGCACAACTTTGTCTTTGACAACATTTCCACTTGTTGTCATATGACACTGGGACTTGCTCGATCCCGGCACAACTTTGTCTTTGACAACATTTCCACTTCTTGTCATATGACACTGGGACTTGCTCGATTCCGGCACAACTTTGTCACTCATTTTTTCTTTTCTTTTGAACAGTATGCAGCACTCTTTCCAATATCCTGTTTGTGACGCCAAAATGATTTGGGATATATTTGTTTAAATAAATCCAGGATTCGGAAGAGTATCAGCTTAATGGTCAAAAAGAATCACACACACGCCGTTTCTGCTAAAATAATAGTGTCTTTATTATTTCGCCACAGATTACAGCATAACAAGCAAAGCAAGGTACAATCACAAATGTACAATCTCACAAGTATTGATGTAGGAGAAAACTCTCACCGTGACACATAGACTGGAGAGCCAGACAGCCTAGGCAGAGCATACACCAACACAGCTGGACGTCCCGATCGGAAGACTCACAGCAGACTCTGCCCTAGCAAATGTGCTTCTTCTACTTATATCCTTTCATTCTCTCTCTCTAACAAAACATGTTTACTTGAAACTCAGAGTTGAAAACGGTAACTCCTTTCCATCTATTTGTGGGGAGTAAAGGCTTCTCTCATCTTGAGGAGAATGCTCTCTTATCAAGGGAGCGATCACCCATCCCATTCATGTGTGGAGGGGTGATGGCTCACCTCTTATTAAAGCAAAAACACGTTTACTAAAACTGTCAGGACAGCGTGAGAGTCCGATGGTGAAACATGTTTATCAGGAACCTGGGGCGTTGTGACCTAAGGGCGGGCCAAGCCCCTCTGCCAAAACGCTCCCCAAGAGTTTATTTAAACATGCCTTTAATACAACATCTCGCTCTCACAGTAACCCGACCTTAGATGTCCACATGAAATGTTTTATTTTCAAGCTATAATATGAAAAGCATTTAAAAACATACAAAAGAATATGGCATATAGCATTAAAAACATATTACTATATGACCCCACCAGGCCCAACACCCACCCACAGCCCAGACCCCAACCAGGCAGCCTACCCCCCCTCCCTGTCCCTGACCCCAAATGTCAAACAAAGAATGAGGGTTTAAGGAAAAACAGGAAGACCCAACTCCTCCCTCCTCCCACTCAAATAAGGTGTTGATGCATGTTGTTACATAGTGCGTTTAAAATGAGGGGATGAGGCGGCGACCGGCACAGACCCACCCCCTCCCCAGAGAGCAGGCAGTGCCCGTTCACGTCCCCAACCCTTGCCCAGAACCCTAAATGTCTACATGCTACATATGAGAGTGGGCACAGGTCCCGAGGGTGAGAATGATTACACATCCCACCCCATATATGCCACCGTGTGCCCACTCCAGACCCTATACATGCATGTGTCATGAGAATGTTATATGTGAGTGTTTAGGTTGTTTAATAAAATTGGGGCCCAGGTCTCCATGAACCACAGAGATGGAAGATCCTTCCCGCAGCTCAGTAGTGCACCTGAACCCCAAGGCCCTGCTTGAGTGGTGGTGTGATGGAGTGGGCGGAGGAAGACGTCGGGATGGGGAGGAACAACTGAGGTGGCAATGCCCTCCCAGGGGGCCAGCTCCCCCACTGACCCCAATAGGCACCCCCATTCTCCGAGATCCACCAGGGGAGGGAGGCTCCAGTGCATTCATTCAGGAGCAGGAGGCAGCCGCACCACCAGGGACCCAGGCCACCGACCGGCACATAACCCCGAGGACCGACCAGAACCCGGTCCAGCGACCCAACCCCCCAGTCCTCATTCTTTGTTAAAATCAGGTCTCTCTTGTAAATGAGTCCCCAAGGCTCAATGGGACTAACGTGTATAAATAAAGGTTGAATGAATTCAGTCTGTGTACTATGAGTATTCAGTCTGTGTACTATGAGTATTCAGTTTGTGTACTCTGTACTTTGTGCAGACGAGCATCTGACAGCAGAGCAGATGGACGAGCAGAGGATCCAGAACATGGCCTATCAGTATTTGTGCAGACTGGAGGAGGCTAAACGGTTAGTGATCAGAACCAGAACTGGGTCTGTGTTAGAATGCTTCTCTGGTGAACAAAACCAGGTCCGGTCATCACGGTGTTGATGGCTTCTGGCTCACTCTGTGGTTCAGGTGGATGGAGACGTGTTTGGGAGCGGAGCTTCCTGCCTCCACGGAGTTGGAGGAGGCACTGAGGAACGGAGTTGTTCTGGCCAAACTGGGTCATCAATTCGCTCCAACTGTTGTCCCTCTGAAGAAGATCTTTGACCCCGAGCTGCTCCGATACCAGGTCCCTTGAAACCCAAATCCTGGTTCTGAAGGAGGTTCAAGAGCACGAGCCTATAATCAGTTGTGTCTCCATGTGTTCAGGCTGCAGGTCTGCAGTTCCGGCATACGGACAACATCAACCACTGGAGGAACGCCATGACATCTCTGGGCCTGCCTGCGGTCGGTGAACTCAGGTCAGAACCTGGATCAACTGATGTTTGGGTCTAACTTTGCTGTTTTGTTCTTCTTAGATCTTCCATCCTGAAACTACAGACGTGTACGACAAGAAGAACATGCCCAGAGCTGTTTACTGTCTCCACGCTCTTAGGTACACCTGTCTGTTCACCTGTCTATCTGTCTATGTATGTTCACCTGTCTGCTCACCTGTCTGTTTATCTGTCGATGTATGTTCACCTGTCTCACCTGTCTGCTCACCTGTCTGTTTCCCTGCAGCCTGTACCTGTACAGACTTGGATTGGCTCCACCCATCCATGATCTTTATGGAAAAGTCAAGTTTACAGGTAAAGTCCATGCTTTGTCAGACTGGTAAAAGACAAGTCCAGGTGTGTTCTGCCTGCAGTGTTTTCATGCTCTTATTGTGAAAGTGGTCCATCTGGACCAATCATATCAAGTGTTTGTAACGTGACTCTGTGGTCAGAGGAGGAGATCAACAACATGAAGCTGGAGCTCGATAAATATGGCATCCAGATGCCAGCGTTCAACAAGATTGGAGGCCTCCTGGCCAATGAGCTGTCCCTGGATGAAGCTGCAGGTATCGGTCCGCTCCGATTGGCTGGGAGCTCACAGGTAGGAGCTGTCAGTCTAACTCTGTGTTCTGCCATCAGCGCATGCCGCTGTCATTGCCATCAACAAGGCGCTGGACAGAGGAGACGTGGGCAAGACGGCCGTGGCTCTGAGGAACCCTGCAGCTCTGCTCATCCACCTGCAGGAAGTGCTGATGAGCAGCTACCAGGAGGTGCTGCAGGAGGCCAGGAGGAGGAAGGCTGAGGGTGCCGCTGGCAAGGTGAGCTCTGATTGGTGACCCAGTTGTCAGATCATGGTTGTTTATTGTTTGTTTGTTTCAGGGGGGAGGTTCAGAGGACATGTATGAGGAGTATCTGACCCAGAGGGAGATCCAGCAGCACATAGACGCCGTCAACGGTGAGAGCAGCGACCTTGGTTTGTTTGTTTGTTGATCCTTACCTGATTTTATTTATTCAAATCACAAACCAACAAGTCCAGCAGCAGGGTGCACATTTGGACCTGAATGGTCCTCTCACAGCTGGGTCTGAGCTGACCCTGACTTCTTGGTGGAATGCTTCCTGTCAATGACTTGAACCCAGTATGTAAGATCTACGAAGCCCCGCCTCCTCCACAGGTGTGCATGGGGTCAAAGGTCACAGTTTGAAGGTCCTTTATTCCTTTTTTGAGGTTTGCTGTGGTCCTTCAGGCAGTTGCAGGTCCTAAGTTCTGGGGATGGGGGTGCTAAAATTTCCTTATATGGGTGGGAGGACGGGTATTTCCTGTGCTGATACTGATTATTGGTGGTTTCAGTGCGATCAGCGGTGGAGCAAGTGGATGAAGCTCTGGACGCTGCAGACGAACTCGCCATACTTTCTGCTCTGCAGCTGTCATGTTTGGCCCTCAGGGGCCTCCATACTGAAAATGGGCCCTGGTACCTGGACCAGCTGTTGTTGGACCGGCAGCAGAAGGCTCTGGTACGCACCCCGACCACTGCTGGATCACGTTTGTGTCACTTCCTGTTTTCTGAGAGAAAAAACAAAGTAGACGATACAACACAACTTTATTTATAAAGCACTTTAAAAACAGCACTGTTGGCCAAATTGTTGTACACTAACAATGATCGGGTGGAGGATTCTTCCGGTTCGGTTCGATCGTTCTGGTCCTGGTGTCCATCAAACTTGTTTGTTCCTGAGTCTAACCTGTATAAATAAAGGTTGAATGAATGTTCAGATCTGTTTACAGTCTGCTAAGTGATGACCTCTGACCTCTTATCCAGGATCAGGGTTCTGTTGATCCTCTGGAACCTGTCGAGCTGCAGGAGAGCATCTCTGCTGCCAACCAGGAGGCTCAGGGAGACAGAACCAGTGAGTCACTTCCTGTCTGTGTGTGTGTGGCTGCATAGATATCATCTAAACCACATAAACCATAGATATCATATAAACCATAGATATAAACCATATATATCATATAAACCACATATATAAACCATATATA